AGATTGGTGGAAATCACGCCGGAGGTGGTAAACGGAGCAAGTTATAGAGTTAAGAAAATTTAAGCAATGGCGGATCTGAGGAAAAAAGCTAGAGAGAGAGAAAGCTAGGGGATTGAACAAAAAGTGAAGCAACGAAAAGAGGGAAACAAGTTTTGTTAAAACTTGAAACGGCGGCAAAACAGAATTAATGCGCCTAAAAACAACGTGAGCGTCAGACGGGGCACGCATGTGCGAGACGATTAAGAAGCACGTGCCAAGTACGATCCAATAAGAGAAGGACACGTAGCTAAAACGGTTGAATTGTGATGCATGACAGCTCATACGCGTGAAGAAGCTCTTGGAAATCTTGATCTTTAAAGAAGACATGTGGCCGATATAATGATATCGCTGAGACATTTAAACCGACGTACATTCGGGATTACTGATATAGGTTCCATCACCTTAGATGCCGAGGCAATAGAACCTAGGGGACAGTTGTGGGGATATATTTTCAGAGTCCCAACACGTGGCCAAGGTGACGCCAACGTGTCAGCCGAGGTGCCACGTGTCCAGGTTTTGACACCGAGGTTATCTCGGAAAGGCCGAGGTTATCTCCGAAGATATCAGAATCCGAGATAAGCGGATAAGGAACAAGAGTCCTAGAATAAAGAAGGACTTTAGCATGGATAAGGATAACACTCTTAGGGAGTTTATCTTTATCTCTTGGAGAGTCCAAGATAAGCACTGAGCAAGAACCCATTGAAGCTAGGCTTCTAGTGGGACAAGGATTGAGTTAACTATAAAAGAGAGGCACCCCCGATGGGTCTAAGGTACGCAATTTATATTATGAACAGTGAGTTTAGCACTATTGATTATCTTTGAGAGATATACTGACTTGATCGTCGGAGTGCCCCCGGGTGGACGAACCACCGCCGGAATCTTCTCTTTCTGTTATAGGTCAGCCAGGCGTCGTCTATTCTGCCAGTGCTCTCCAGCTGATTACTCAGTTGGGCAGTGTGATCGGAAAATCACTCACACAGTTAGATAATTAGATTTGTTTGCCTGAAAACATGTAACACCACAAGTTGACAAAGCCCTACTCTCTTTATGAGTATTTAAATTCAGTCATTTCTATTAGAATATATAGTAATTTTAAAATAGATTTGAAAGATTCAATGTTATTCCATTGAACAGCTACACAAATTTTGACTATCTCATTTACAAATTGAAAAATTAAAATGGAATTAATCATAGTTGTCAAATCGGGATTCATGTCGTGAATCGAAATAGTCTCGTACCGAATCACGAATTGAATCGAATCGTGAATCGTAAAGATTCGGTTACTTTTTCTAAATCACTTAAAAACATATATCTACACATTTAGATGTTAAATATATCTTATCAATATAAAATATTTAGACTTAAATCAACAAAAATGTTATTTTGAATGATAATCACATAATTTAATAGGTAAGAAGTTAACAAAGGTTCCTATGTAAAATCACCATCTTACCTTTTTTTTTTTTTAAGATTTTTTTATCAACCATTCTTAATAAAGGTAATAACCAAATAGAAACTATTAGTTTCTAAAGTAACAATAGTTAACAACGATATTGATATTTGGACAATAAGCATATATACTTTTCTAAGTTAGAGTGAGCAAATAATAAGAAAGAATTGTTTAGGATATTTTATTTTAAAGCCTAAAACATTTTAACAGGTATAACTGACCTCACACATGTAGTATTCAATTTAATAAAATAGTAATAGATAATTTATAGTGTAACTCTAATCTTAAACATCTTTAGAAGATATATTACAATTTTTTGAAGGGGACAAAAATGAGAAGAAATGTTAAAAATATATTAGGTCTGATTGAATCTGATTGGATCCAATAAAAAACTCCATGATCACTAAAATAATAACAAATCATATATATATGTTGGTTAGTTTGGTATTAAATACTATTAGAAGTTGTATTATGTTATTTTCACTAAAAAGATGAAAAAAATGAGTCGAAAATATGTCGAACACAAAAATTTCAAAAATTGCATGAATCATAAAAAGTGAATCGAATCGTGAATCGATTGTGAATCGTGCGATTCACTAGAGATTCACTTCCAAAATAGATTCACTCATAGATTCGTATCGATTTTGCAAAAATTACGTATTGAATCGCGAATCGTAAGATTCTGATAACAGAGGAATTAATTAATTTAAGATGGATCAATTCATGAGGCAAATTTGGCACAACCGAAGGTACGATATAAGCTTTATCATGCAAGTGGAACTACAAATCTTGTCATGTTAATTGAAGCAATTTATACTCATCGATGACTATGGATGGCAATTGGGCATAGAATTCATTGAAGAAACACAAATGCTAGTAACTAAAAGTGAAGAGCTGAAGTAGGAACACCCGACAACAAAAAATGGGGAAGAATGTCATATATTTAAAAATTTGACATCATCATCATCGCCAAAAGGTTGGCAAAATACCATATCACAGTAGAAAGGCAAACTAGACAACATTGACTGAGAGAATACCTAGCTCTCAATTGGAAATGTAAACTATAACATAATACTAAAACAAACACAAACTAAAGTGTATCAATATATATTATTAACTTGGGTAAATTACACTTTTTACTGCTATAATTTGACTCAAATTTTACTTTGATTTAATTTAGTTTTAATTTGGTTCTTCTATCCAAATTACTGTCGATTGTTTCTACATACACACTTCATGAGAGACACTAGGGATGACCATAATTTGGATTGGTTCAGTTTAGGAGTAAACCAAACTGAACTATTGAGCTTGTTTAAAAATTGACTATTTTAGTTGTTTTTTTACTTTTTATGAAAAAACATATAAAACTTAGAGAGATGTGATTGGGTATTTTGACTTTTTGATTATTTTAGCCAAAACAACCATATGCCAAAAACCCAATTTTGTGAAATTTGGTACCAAACCAAATTATGAAAATCTTACAAACAAAAGAGACCGAGCAATTAAACCATGGTTTGGTTTGGTTCGATTTAAAACAACGATTTTTAAAAACTTTATCATCATTCACAAAAGGAAAATTGTAATATACACACCTTTGAAAGAGTTGTATCATATGTACACTAGTTATGTCATTTTCTTCTTTAGTAACAACTAATTTTTTTCTTAAGTTATGATATTATTTTAATTATAACTCATGAGATCTTTAGTTATGCTCCATATTATGTTTAATTATGATATTTTTTTTAATTATGACTCATAAAGTTTAAAACTATGCGTATGATACACAGGATGTACCATAGTGTTTCCCTTCACAAAATATTATTCACAACCTATGACTTATAAAACTAGTTATACCACTATAAAAAAACATGATTGCAAAAGTAAAAGATTACAAATTATGTATATATAGAGCTATACAAAATGCCGCCCAATTTGCTAAAACTGCACTACGTTAATCAGTACCGTTCTATCTGCTAACCGCGATTTAAATTTTAAAATTTATAAACTGCTTTCGAAACCATTCTGTTCCACTATAGTTAATACATATATATATTTTTAACCTATAATGAAATATTAAAGTAAAAATAAGTGTAAAAGAAATTTAATATGTGAAATTTATTACAAATTAGTAGTTATATATATGAAAAATATTATGTAAAATTAGTTTGGGTTATATATATAAAAAATATTATGTAAATTAGTGTTATATATTATACAAAGGCTTGATAATTGATTAGAATATTTTTTAATCTGTCAATTCGTCCAAAATCGCTCAAACCACAACTTGTCAATCTACTAATTTGTTAATTCGCCATTTAGTATATGATTTTATTCTCAAACCACCTGAACCGCACTACACACCCTTATATATATATATGTTTGATAATAATGAGCTATGCAAATTAGTGTTATATATTATACAAAAGCTTGATAATTGATTAGAATATTCTTTAATCTGTCAATTCGTCCAAAATCGCTCAAACCACAACTTGTCAATCTACTAATTTGTTAATTCGCCATTTAGTTTATGATTTTATTCTCAAACCACCTGAACCGCACTACACACCCTTATATATATATGTTTGATAATAATGAGTTACTTGAATAAATTTTTTTATATATTTTTAAACGATTTAGTTCGGTTCTAATCGGATCCGTAAATATAAAACCGTCAAACGAATTGTGGTGTCGATTGGGAAGAGCTCATTTGGGCTCTTTTGGCTCTTTGAGCCACAAAAGACAAAATAGGCTATTTGAGCCACAACAGACAAAACATCACGTCCAACCCATAATCATTACACTCTTCTCTCACAAAAAAAAGTCAAAAAAGCCAAAAAGTAAAAAAACCCTTCCCAAACCAAGCTTTTGAGCCCAGGCTCAAATAGCCAAAAAAGCTAAAAAGTCAAAAAGCCAACCTACTTCCCAAACGGAGGCTGTGAAATACAATTTTGTTTATTTTAAAAATGAGGACCGAATCAAGAAAACCTAGAGCTTGCATCGGACCTTTAGGTGAGTTTTTTGAGTTTTTTTTTTTTTTTTTTTGGCTCGGCCCTGACACTTTAATATAAAATTATCAGCTTGATTGGTTTGAATTTTCAAAATTTATTTTTTTCAAAATTAAAATTTTTTATTTTTCGTATTTTTTAGTTTTCACTTATTTTTTTTAAATATTCTAAGAATTTTTCTTTTACTTTTTAGATACACTTAAAAAATATAATATTTATAAAAAAAATCTATACAAAATTCATTAAATATCAAAAATATCAAAATTCAGTACATTTTATTGATTTTTAAAATATTCTTTTACAAATATTTTAATTTTTAAATATATCTAAATAAACTACATCTAAAAAAATTACTTAAAATTTTAAAAATGAAAAATATAAAATATTAATTTTCAAGAAATTAAATTAAAAAAATTAAAACCAAACACATTAAATAATTTTAAGTACAGACAAAATGTTCAAATTAGAGAGAGAGAGAGAGAGAGAGAGAGAAGGGGGGGTTGAACCGTGATTTCAATGGGGACGCGGGTGTCAATCCGATGCTGGTAATAGAGATCGATACAATCCATGTCCAGCCTCTTCAAGCTCGCCTCACATGCTGCCCGTACGTATCCCGGATCACCTCGAATCTCTGTCTTTCCCTTAGCAAAGCGGCTCCCGAATTTCGAAGCCAATTCAACTTTGTCTCTCATCCCTCCCTTGAGTGCCTGCTCATCAAAATCAAAATCAAAATCAAGATCAAGATCAAGATCAACTCCACCATTTGTTATGAATAGAAATCAAAGAGTAGGAAATTGAATTAATAATAGGGGTGACCTTGCCGAGGAGGATTTCGTTGGTGTGAGGACCGTAGACGTCGGAGGTGTCAAGGAAAGTGACGCCGGAGTTGATGGAGTGGTGGATGAGTTTGATCATGTTTTCTTTGGGCTTTGGAGGCCCGTAGAAGGCTGACATCCCCATGCACCCCAGTCCCTGTTTGGACACCTCTAGACCTTGTGATCCCAGCTTCATTCTCCCTACTTTCGCCATTTCTCTCTCTCTGTCTCTCTCTTGCTTCTCTCTCTAGATGTATTAGTCAAAGACAAGTGCAGTAGTATGGAGATGGTGTGATGATCACTGAACTTATTATAAAGAAAGTAAGGAAAGGAGAATATGCTGCTCCTGCTCCTGCTCCTGCTCCGGACAAATACATGGGTGTCTGTCCTAATTATTTTTTTAATTAATTAGGCCTGAACTTATTACAAAGAGATGGTGTAATGAGCACTGAACTTAGGCCTAGTTTGGAAAGACTAAATAAGTGTACTTTTTGACTTTTTTTGAAATATGAGTTGGGCTTGAGTTGGGTTTGAAGTGATGTGTTAGAGAAGTGATGTGACTTAAATACGATGATGTGACTTAAATAGGATAGTGACTTTTTGACTTTTTATTTTTTTTCAATCATGCCAATGAGCTCTGAACTTAGGGTCCGTCTGGGAAGAGGGGTTGGGTTGATTTTGGGATTATTTTTTAAAAAATAAAATATAATTTTTAGTTTAATACGATAAAATATCACATCAAATATATTGTTTGGTTTGTTTTTAAAAAAAAATTAGGAAAAATTCTCTACAAATAAATTTTCAAGAGTAATCAAATTAAACAATTTTTTTAAAAAAAAATCTCAAAATTTTGTTTGGTTACATAGTTTCTAAATCACTCTTTCTCTCATACACATCAAATTAATCACTTTTTTTAAAACTCTCTTCCAAAACAATTTTCTAAAACTATTTCTGAAAAAAGACAAACCAAACATGTTTTCGTACTTTTTATCTCAAAAATTATTCTACAAATACAAACCAAACACACACATAATCATTACATTTTTTCTTTTATAGAAAGTCAAAAAATCTTTCCTAAACAATACTTTTTAACACCAGATTGAAAAATTAAAAAGTCAACCAACTTCTCAAACGAAGCCTTATTATAAAGAGAGGAGAGGAGGATATGCTGCTCCTGCCCCCGGACAAATACATGGGTTTCTGTCCTAATTATTTATTTATTTATTTGTTTTTTATAAAAGAGATTGGGTTGCTTGGCAACCAAATACAAAGCCAGCTTTTTAGGTAGCGTTTGGTACAATTTTGTAAATATGATTTGAGAGTATGAGTTATATTTTGAGTTTGTGTGTTGTGGAATTATGATTTGAGTGTAGAAAATTTGTGTAACGCCCTCAAAATTAACCCATTATATATATCATTGACATTCATTATTTAAAGATGACAATCTATTAATTCATTCATCAGAGTATTACAAAATAAAGCATTACATGTATCATCGAATAAAATGCCCTACAGGCTTACATCTTCCCAAGCCAACACTTGGATACAAAAATATGAGTTCTAACTCAATACAAGAAAAGCCCTAGGCTTGAATGTTTACATGTACTAATAATTTAAGACAGTTAACTAAAAGTAGTCTTCTTCAATCCAGAAGCCAAACCCTCCCAAGCTAATTCCTTGGAGGTAGTTTATCACCTGAACCTGAAAATGATGTTCCCATAAAGGATGAGCCACAGCCCAGTAGAAATATACTAAACCACATATAAGCAATGAATAAAACAATAGCATTCAACAGATGGTTAACCAAGAGACTATCTGTTTGGGTTTTGGTCTTTTAAAAACATTTTTTAAATTTTTTTATTTTTTATATTTTAATGAATTTTTGTATATATATTTTATCTTTAAAAAAATTAATAAAAACAAAAAAAAAATTAAACATATACTATATATTTTGTATTTAGTGCAATTTTTAAAGATTTTTTCGCAAACTATATATATTTTAAATACATCTAGATTAAACGAATTTAAAAAATCAAAAAATATTAAAAGTTTGAAAATTATTTTTGAAAACTTTAAAATCAAATAAAGTTCTATATTAATTTTTGAAAAACAAGAGGTTAAGTAAGAGGTTTTAGTTTAAGGTTCCCTTAGGGGTGTTTTAGAGAGTTGGTTAAAAGTTAGTTTTTTGACTTTTTTAATTATTTTTTTTAATCTTTTTGTGGGTAAAAAATGTTAGAGCTGATATGATTTAAAATGGGTTAAAAGCTAAAAACTGGCTTTTAACCAGCTTCCCAAATGAGCCCTAAAATTTTATAAAATAAAAGGCATGCAACAATTTCATTATAGTTTAAGTCCATCAATATTTTTATAGAGAAATTTCAGTACGAAGAAATTTGGCATAGAGAAATTTGTGAAATTTCTTTGTGACGATTGAAATTTCTCTGTGACGAGTTAAAATTTCTCTAACAATATTATTAAGCCTCCGTTTGGGAAGTGGGTTGGCTTTTTGGCTTTTTGACTTTTTTGGCTATTTTAGCCTGGGCTAAAAAGTTTGGTTTGGGAAGGGCTTTTTGGCTTTTTTAACTTTTTTTGTGAGAGAAGAATGTAATGATTATGGGTTGGATGTGATATTTTGTTTTTTGTGGCTAAAATAGCCTATTTTATCTTTTGTGACTAAAATAGCCAAAAAAACCCTGTTTAGCTCTTGCCAAACGGAGCCTAAGAGACTTTAACCGATAAAAAAAAAAATATTTTGGACCTCTTCTACTACCAAAAATTGAAAAGAAATGTTTTACCAATTTTTTCATTGGGAAATCGTTGGTGCCTCGAACGGAGTCGCCTCGAATGGCTCGAATTTTTGTTCACCAGTTGACCGGTCGGACGACCGATAAAGTGAAATTTGAATCATTCAAGACAAGTTCAAATTCGAGATACATAATATTGCTCTTTCTCATTAAGTAATACACTGTGAATGATGTGGAGTATTATTACAAGATTATCTAATAACCAACATTAAAACAGTGGATCAAGGAGCATCAATCCAATACTGCTATATAATCAATATGAAAAAAGTAATGTTATATAAGCTTAATTTTTATACAAAAATTTCATATCAAATGACATAATTATTTGTGATTTTTTTAATTAAAATATCTATTATTATGTCTCATAATTAAAAATGTGTTGTTATTACATCATTCTAAATACATTTTTTATATATAAATACTGAGAAATTCTATTTGTAAGTTATTTTTCCAAATAAAAAACTAGGGCACTAGATGGATTTGCCCCAACAATATTCTAATTGCCCCGGTAGGCCGGACTAGTGGTTGGTGAAGTGTAGAAAAAGACAAAAATTGCTTATGTTAGCGCCTACGCATGTGAATAGGAATGACAATGGGTTAATAGGGTGTATATTTAGGAATTGTTTGGGGTGTTCTAAATAAGTGTATTTTTTATTTTTTTAGACTAAAAAATTGAGGAAGAAAATATGAATGTTTGGGTTAACTTTTTGACTTTTTATGGAAAAATATGTAATAAAAAATTGTAAAAATTGATTTGTAGGGAACCAACTCGGGGAAAAATTAGGATTGGGAGTTGTGCAGCCGTAATTGTTGACTTTTGGTGAATAGTGTTAACTTTTTAACTTTTTGAGTAACTTTTTGACTTTTTGACTTTTTTGCAATATGCCAAACTTGGCCTTAATTCCCTATCCTGATTCTCCTATGAGTGTTTTGGGAAGTTGGTAAAAAGTTAATTTTTTAACTTTTTGAATTTTTTGGTAGCTTTTTTAGGAGTTGTTTGGGATGTCCTAAATAAGTGCACTTTTTATCTTTTTAGACTAAAAAGTTGAGGAAAAAAATATGAATGCTTAGATTAATTTTTTTGAGTTTTTATGAAAAAATGTGTATTAAAAAATTGTATAAATAAGTGTGTATGAGAAGATAGTGAAGTAGGCTGTACGGGTTGGGCAATGCAGTCGACTGGGTAGAAGATGGGAAAATATTGCCTCATTTTCGGGCTTTAATTGGACGGTGTTGTTCGGTCCGTGGGGGCCCACCACGGGTCTCATTTTTCTAATCGGAACCGTTCAATGTGTAGAACTCGTCGAGTAATATATGTTTGTAAAAAATCACATTGATTGGATATCGATAGCTATATGATCGTGTTAGTTTTTTTTGTCAACTGTTAATTATAAGACCATCCATTTTTTATACAAAACTGTTTTGAACATATAGTTAGCGATATCCGATAGATGTGATTTTTTACAAGCATATAGTAATAGATGAGTTTTACATATTCAACGATTTAGATTATCAAAAAGGGACCCATGGTGGGCCCCCACGAGCCCAACTTTACCATCCAACTTAGTGAATATACACATGTAATTTTTTTTTTCCTTTCAGTGCCTTTGCTTTGACGTCAGTACCTAGAGTGGCGTGAAGTTGATTTGTATTTTAATATTATGTATATTAATTTTTTTATATATTTTTTTAGTGAATAGTGATAACATTTTAACTTTTTTGATAACTTTTTAACTTTTTTTAAAGTTCCCAAACCAGGCCTAAAAGCTGGCTTTTTGTGGCTTTTTTTTGTGTAGAAAAGCTAAAAAGTCAAAAATCTGACATTTTTAGCTTCTTCCCAAATGACCCCTATAATTATTTTTCCCCATTTCTCATGGGTATTACACTCTCCATCTCCTAATGAGTTTGGACTTTCCTTAACCCAACTTGACCCCTTTTTTGTTTTAATTATTTTTTTTAAAGGTTCACAACCAAATATTATTATTTTTTTTTTAAGATTCACAACCAAAACTAAATATATATTCAATATTATTTTATTTTTTTGGCTCAACAACAAAATCAAATACACATTAATTAACATTGTCATATTATTTTTGTCAAATTTTATGTATATTTAGAATTTTTTAAATTTATTTAGAAAAATTCTATTCCTACAAAAAAAAAAATTATCTTCTTTTTTTATTTTATGTATCTCATTCTTCTTTCTGTTAATTGATCTTCGATAATCTGAAAGTGAGTTGTTACTCTCCTTTCCATCTTCTTCTTCTTCTTTCTTTTTTTTTTTTAAATTTTTATTTGCATTTATAGAATGAATTTTCTTATTTCAATATCTCATACAATTATTTTATTGGATAACCTTAGATTGAATTTCTCAATTTTCATCTTAACTAGTGATCACCTTAATTGAAATTTTATACATTTTTGTCTTCAATTTTCATATTTTCGTTATGATTAATTGCGCGTTTTTTATCGATAGTCACAATCTTGTCGCCGCTAGATTGTCACCATTGCAAATCGTCGTTGCTGTGTGAGAGGATGAGAGAGAGTGAGAATTAGAAC